GTGTCAATTTCTACCGACTTCTTTCCGTTCCACTGCAGATCGCCGGACTTCGCAGCTGATCGCAAGAATTCTATTTTTTCTTCGTAGGACTCAGCTGTTGTGACACAAACTCCTGCGGTTGAACTTTGAACCTTCCCCATTCCTCTTCTTCCTCCTCCATGCAATCGCCCGTTGTCCTTCCCCCTCTCTCTCTCTCTCTCTCTCTCTCTCATCCGTGGCGATCCCTGTGGGGAGATCTCCTCCTGGCAGGCTCTGGCTGCTTTATTGAACAGCGTCTCCTCATCTTTCTTTTTATCGAGCGGTCCAGCCGTCAGCCAGCCTGCCAGCCTCTTCCTATTGCACCCCATTTGTCTTCATGTTCAGGGCGTTCTTCTCTGCTGGATCCTGAACGCGGCGGCCTGGACAACCCACCTTGAGCTGTGCAAATGAACAAATACAGTCCCCTCACTCACTTTGTGTCATGCAAACAGAAAACTAGTTTGCATGTGATCTCTTTGGTGCAGAGCTCCACAGATAAACCCTCACGGTCGTGTTTCTGCTGATGCAGCATGACTTCAGAGTATACTTAACAAAATGAGGCAATTTAGAGCAACATACAGGAGAGGAAAAAAAGCCCTAAAGCACTTGATATAAGCTGGTGTGTTACTGACCCAGTCTGCATTTCACACTGCTGCTGCTGCATCACACAGACTCCCACAGAGAGGCTCGTGTTCAGTCCCCCGAAAAGTTATGAATGACGCTCTAACGGCAAAGTAAATCGTCCGAGGAGGAAAATCAATTTAGAAAATTGCTTGAATTCTTGCAGGCCTGTTTCATTGTCATTAAGAGATCACACAGAAGGGAGGGGCTGGGATAAATGTCTCCTCGTGCTCGGGGGCGAGTGCCGAGCTGATACAACAGCCTCAGAGGGTTTATTCATTTGGCCTCTGATGAGTCTTTTTTGTCTCCTGAGAGCGGTGACCTACAGAAACATCCTGAATCTGAGGATGTTTTCACAGATATAACTCTTGTTTTAATGTTTGTTACACTCCGACCATCTTTTAGTTGTCTTGATACCCACAGAGCGAGCAGATGTTACCATTACGCTCCACCAGGATGAGCACATTCCCCCAATCCTTCCTCTCCTTCCCTCGCTTTGTCTCCTCCGGGCTTTTGTTGCCCAACAGCGGCTTAAATTAGATCGATGTCCGGTGTTTTTTGCTCTGATGATTAGCTCATACTGCAGGCGCCCGTGATCACTGAGGCATGAGCGGAGCAAGATACAGCGCAGAGAGAGAGACGGACTAGTTGTCATGCACAAGTCTTTCAAAAGCCATCTGTTCCTGCATGTAGAATCACACTGAGAGAGAGCCTACAACATATCCCAGGGGCACTACACATCCCACCAACACACAATCCGAGAGAAAGTGCTGTTACTAAGACAAGAGAAGGAGACATATCCTTCTGCTGCAACCAGTTCAGATGTTTCTGTGAGCTGATCTAGGATACATCAGTTTGATGGATGATTTGTGACTACAGACAATGTTGGAGAGGGGAAATGTATAATTTGTACAAACTGTGCATCGCCAAAAAACACACTGTGAGGAACAACACCTTAATTTATTCACAACAGGCAGGAACTGGTCATAAAAAGATCATCCACGACCAAGACTAACCCTGGATTTCCACCGCATCCGGAACGGTTCCAATCCGGAATGGCAGCGATTTTTGCAAATGTCGGAAGGCAAATTTCTTGGTGGATTACGGACAGCAGGAATCGCGAGAACTCACAAGAATGTTTTCAGTTTGACCTGTTTCCCTCCTGTTCTCTGTGTTTTATTCTTTAGATCAGTTTTCAGTGTTTATTTCCTGTTTTCTTTTGTAGTAGTTGATTCCTTGTGATTCTAGTCTGGTTTTACTTCCCTAGTTTTCCCTCCTTCGTTAATCCCCCCTGAGTCTCACCTGTGTCTCGTATGTCTCACCTGTTGCTCATTTCCAAGTGTGTATATAGTCCCTGTCTTCCCCTCTGTCTTGTTGGTTCATTGTGCCAGTTCACTGTGATCCTGTATGTGTGAATCCCTTGCCTTCTTGTAATCTTTCCCCTGTTTTTAAAATATCTTATCTAACATTAAGATAAAAGATAGTTTCCATAACATCATCATAAACTCGTATTAACTCTGTCTGCCTGTTTTAATCCGGCTCTGAGTGAAGGCTGGTGCATCATCTACCTGCAGGGATTATTTTAGTGCAGTTAAAGCCTGTTTTCCATTTTGTGAAGTATTCAATAACTTTTAATTACTATTATTCAGACTTTAGACTACAAAATATACTGAAGTTTTAAAGCACCCTGATAATCGTCCACTTTATTCAGTGCAGAACAGGTTTGCTACGTCTTAAAATTTAAGCTCACAGAGTCAAGCTGTCACACGGTTCGACTCTTCACATAAAAAATAGTAACAAGATCCAGTTTTCACACCTTGCCAAACATTAAAGTAGCATTGACATCTTAACTGCACTGTCTACAGCAGAGCTACGATAGTGAGGGAAGAGCAGCCGGTGGAGGTGTTGAGATAAAGTCAGGAGCTCAGTCTCGGGGGATGACGTGTTGATGTAGCCGATGGTGTTTTCTAACAAACCTCCCGATACACAGCAGCTTCATGATTACAGAGGAAGATCTGGCTGAAGGGTGTTGAGTTCATACATGTTAATAAGAACACACACTGACTTCACACTGCTGCTGTAGGCTGTCATAAATATTGATCTGTGTGTGCATGGAGGTGTGTGTGGGTGTAAAACACGTTACAAGGTCCATGGGGTTTCAGGAAGACTTAGTTTTACTGGCTGCAAAGTTTAGATGATTGAATACAAACATCTCAAGCTCTTCCACACCGAGATATTAAATTCATATGTTTTATCATTTTATTTTCATATTTCATATATTTTTATACATAAAATAAAATAAAGTTCTTATCTGTATTTTACTTTTCCCTCTTAAACTGATTTATTGTTTATGGTTACGTCACGACAGTTTATCATGAGCACCTGTTCCAGAGACCAAAGACCTGATCGTCTCCTTTAATGCTCAAACTTTATCCCTCAATTCTCAGCTGCAAAGAAAACAAAGTGAAGTTTAACCCAAAGTTACACCATCAGAGTTGATTTTGTCTAAATTCTCCCAGACTTTTTAGTCGATTAAACTTCCCGGCCCGCTTTAGTCCTCAGCAAACTTCAAACTCGGCTCTTGTCAGATTGTCTAACAGCGTCTGAAAGCCTCTCCCCTGACACCTTCACCACATTGGATTTTTGGGGGGTGTTGACAATTTGTGAAACCTCTCAAAACTGACAACATGAAAATCCCACCTTCTTCACGCGGCGGCTGGTCGGACGTGTGGAGGTGAGAGCGAGGATGTGGAGTCATTCTCATCAAACAGCAGCTTCGATGGAGAGATCACTAAAATCATATACTTTTGTCAGTTAGCAAGAATTTAAACCTCCTATGTTTTAGACAAATGTTGTAAAAGTCTTTGAATGTGACAAAGTTTTAAGAGCCAGTAAGTCTGCAGGGATACAGTTAGAGCCTGCACAGAGACCCGGGTTCAAGTCTCTCTGAAGACCAAAGTTAAAGTGAAACATTTATCAGGTTAACATCATCTCCTGGTTATAAAGTCCTGGATGGAAACCCAGACTCGGACTTGAGAGCAAATCCACATTCTGCACTCGGACTAAACAACATAAACAATAATATACCAACCTGTGTGGGTGTGCAGACCCCTGTGGGTGCTTGAGCACACACACTGGTGATCAATAGGAGTTGTGCTTGCAGAGTGACCTGCACATCCGCACAGAGCACTTAGAAATACATCAGCCGATCCACCAACAACTCCTCAGCTTGTTATTCCTTCCCCTGGGCCTGCACGCACTAAGGAGGGCTAAGGGCACCCGTAGCCGCGTATATATCTGCACTGAGAGGTGGATTTTCAAGGTGACAGACAAAGTCTACAACTCGCCAAAGTGGCTCAAGGTTGCAGCAGCTCACCCCGGAGGCATCTCACCGAGCGGGAGGAGGGGAAGGACAGAGTGACAGCTGTGAAATGAATCGACCCACACACCTAACGTCCCGCCACAAAGAGGTGGAGTGCCGGAGGTGTTTGTTGACCAAATTATAGGAGAGTCACATGTTCCAGACATTCTGATATTTGGTGATCAATTCAGAAAACAGCGCACTCAGTTATTTTCTCATGTGATTTACTGAAGGTGTAAGATTTCTACTTTTTCATTTATCTGTTTGAGTGAATCTGGAGGTCACGTTTGTCCAGGTGATCCATGAAACGAAGAGGAAAACAAGCCATTAGGCCAGCTGTGAATAATGTCATGTCAGCTGAGCGCTGTTAGAGATGACCATGCTGTTTGAAACCGTCAGGAACAATCCTTCACCATGAGCTGCTGCAGTGGTCTGAACCTCTAATGAAAGATATATGCTGTGAAAAATGAAGTTAAAAAATAACCTTTACTATGTCAGTGGCTAAGAGGTCTGAGCACACCTACACAGAGGGCATGGAGGTCAACAAAAACCTGAGCAAAACACACAAATAGACATAATTCATGTAGCACATGCAAAGAGTTAAACTAGTAAGTGAACGTACAGCAGATTAAGAGGAAAACATGGAGACCAAAATAGAGCTACAAGGACTCATCAGGTAGTCTGACAGTTTATGTTTTTAGGACAGTGAAGACACAGATGTCAGGACAAGTTAGAAAGGTTCATGCTAAACCTGTTTCTGCACCTGTCCATTTAAGTCCGGACTTTGACTGACTTCTGTGTGAAACAACAGTCCACATTACTCTCTTCCAATGATTAATATGGTGATTATTACCTCAAGGAAATGATAAAGAAATGATCATAAATGTTCTTCCTTGAGCTGCGTCACCCCACTGCAGTCCATAATGGACTGGCCTGAGGTCTTGCTACAAACAAGCGGCTGCTGGAAGAGAGTAGGTGAGTTGTGTTTAGTCTCTTTGTTAAAGAAATGAGTCAAAGTTAAAAAGATGTTTGGTGTCAAGTACTATGTCTGTGACCCTATATGTCCTGTTGATGAAGTTAGGTGCTGTTCTGAGCATTATTTGTGGCTATAGAGTGGCGTTTTGGTTGAGCGCGTGGCTCTCTGTATTTCTATCCTGCGGTCGTTACTAAAGTTGGTATAACTAGAGAAGCAAGCGGTCGACAACATTCATCTCTGGAGGGGGGGTCTAACTCAGTGTTACGGTTAGTTTGACCCTAAATTAAATTTACACCAGAATATCCCTTTAAACTCCTCCACTTCAACACACACACTCTAAAAAACAGTGAATGAAGTTTATGACAGAATCAAGATGCTACTTCACCACCAGAGACACGACGTCTGCTCTTTCTGTCATGATCACGTCCCGTCTGTCCGCCCGGTGTTTTTACCTGAACTGAGTTCTTCATAAAAGCAGAATGAGTCATGTTTCAAAGATTTCTGTCTAAATACCAAAAACAGAAAACAACGATAATAACTCGCCCCAACAAACAAGCAACCACAGATCTTTATTCAGCCTCCAACTTTGTCACAGTAATAACTCATTGTGATTCAGCGAATCGAAGGATAAATATGCCCGACCTGCTCCGCTTTAAGAAGTTTGATTTGAATTACTCTGAGACATTACCAGCTCTACATCATTAGCAAAGCCAAACAAATAAACTCCCACAATCCTTTGCCCTGAGGGGACGCTCTGCTTCACAAATGTCTCCGTTTATCTACAATATTTAGAGTCTCTGTAAATAATCCATGTCTTCTGCTGCAGGAAATGTTAACATCAGTATTATTCCTCTCCTGATGCAGAGACAGAGGCAGATAAATAATTACTGGACGACGATGAATAAATGTTTGAACAGTAAACCGACCTGAATGTTTGTCTGGGATGTTTGCTGTTTTAATGATTCTCGTCAAAGTGAATTAACCGAGTCATGGATGAGACCTTTTCTAGTTTATGTCACTATAATGAGGTGATAACCCTCGGGCCATGTGACCTTTTCTTTACCACCTATTGTCCCTGTCATGACCTGCAGAGTAAGAAGACACGATGACAGACAGCAGAGCCTATTATCGCCATGTCATAAATTCACTCTGTTCGTCTTACTTTGGCTTTGTTGGAGCGAAAACAAAAAAAAAGTTTGATCTTCACTGCTCTGCTGAGAAGGAAATACTGGCCTCTGATTGGACGCTGTCAGGTCTTGTGGAGAGCTTTGAAGGAAAGCGTGCTCCTCAAAAGTCTGCTCGCAGTTCGCAAATGCAGAGTCGTTAGCATCTTTAGCGTTAGCATTAGCATTATCCACAGCATAGCAGGTTCACAGCAGTTCCAGGATTACCAGCTGTGCAAGTCTAACCCCCAATCTTCACCGCATCTGGAACAGCTCTGATCCGGAATGTCCGTGATTTTCACCATCCGCCAATTCCTACCGGATCCGTTGGTGAGGCGAATTTTGTGGCGGATTACGGACAGCAGTAATCGCGAGAAATCACAAGGAACCATGAATTCATGCGCAATCGCGCGATAACAATGAGAGATGTCGTTCAGCAGAGTTGTGTTAGCAAACCCTCCATTATTATTATTATTTTTCTCCCAGGCTGACTGTCTTTCTCTCCCTCGTTCTTTTCTGTATATCCTGAAGCGAAGAAAAGCTGCAGCCATTACTCTTCCCCCATCTCAGTTTGTCTTTCAATCACAGTTATCTCAATCAATGTGCCATTTAAATTAATTACTCTTGTCTCCTTGAGACGGCAGAGAGCTGGCAGCTGTTTAATCTGAAGGGTGCTCATCGAAAAAATATATCAAACAAGAAATCTTTGTGATGCTTTCAGGCGTACTAAGGAGAGAGAGAGAGAGAGAGAGAACGTTTACTGTTCATCTCAGAGAGGCTTTAACTTCTATCCTACAATCGCACTTTAAAAGGCTGCTCACTTTTTACACATGTACCCTACAGAGTTACTTAAATATGAGCTTTGAATACTCTGAGGAACAACACAGACTAAACAAAGTGTTGACGAGTGTCGCATCGATTAGATAACTGGGAATAACTCAAGTAAAGTCATGATCTGATCGCACTTCAGTGATGGGTTATAAAGAAAAAAAAAAACAGTTTACATGATGCAAGACTCTTTCGGCTCCAGACGGCTCTTCATAGTATCATGGTTTTTATGTAGTAATATTTAATGTGCAGTAACCTGATTTGGTGCTGGTACAGGTGCCATAATAAGTCCAATATTGATCGGTTTATGTGAACTCAGGCTTACTCCAGACTCATAAAAACCTCAAACATCCTCCTGGTTCAGGGTGTAACATCTGCTGTGCTCTCAACCACACCAGACATCAACACTACAGCACCGCGTCCACCCTGAAATTATGAAGGTGCAATGCCTGAGAGCTAGTTGAGGCAGGCAGGCAGCAGCTACACACGTCTCACAATGATAAACATAATTTCCTCAATCGCCTGACCATCATATCCTTCCAATTTGGCAGTTTATCTAAGCTGCAAGATTACACATCTCCCTCTGCTCTATCATAAACTTTTTAAAACACACTTAACATACTAACTTGAGCACAAGTACACTCATAATACTACTGTGACCATATTCTGAATCCCCAAAAAGAGGACACTACTACCCATGGCAGAGTCGCGGAGTACCGCGTAGTAAATTTTGAGGGTTTCTCAGGTCGGGTTGAGTGTTTTTTACGCACTTCTAACTCAGTTAGTCCATACTACACAAACTCAAACCCAGGACATTTGAAGGATTTTATAAACTCCCCCAGACAAGGCCGGACAACCCCCAAAAAAGAAGACATGTCTGGGTACAAGAGGAAGCATGTTTACCCAACATTATACGCTCAGATTAAATCCAGTCATCATCGAAAACACAAACTTTCTGCACGTTTGCAATCTCAAAAAAAACCTGACATCCTGAAAGAAGTCGTTTTTAAGGAGCTACATGATTTTTTCACTGACAGCTGTTTGCATGAAAGTGCACAGACTGACCAGGAACTGAACCCTGATTGCTTTATATTTAGTCAGATTTCCATTTTCAGCCGATTGTCTGCTGGATTTACATGATAATGATGATGACGATGATGATGATTGTATCAGATGTGGTTGCTAGGCGATTGGAGATGCAGGCCTGTATTTTGTGTTTACTCCCCTCCATTATGAGCCAAAGTGAGGTGAAGCCGGGACAGAGCGGCTTTCGTGAAACATCCCTGGACTCGTCTGACTCCCAGATTCATGTGTTTGTTTACTGAGAGAGCGAATGAATGTGTCCTTGATAAATCTCAGCTCTCTGATTAAAAACCGCACCTTCCTCTAAGACTCGATGAACACAAAGTGAAGAACAAAAGTGCGGTCGAGAGGAGGAAAGGTGCCTGAAATACACAGAATCCACTTTAAATCATGCACACACACCACATTGTCACATCCTCTGACAGCAGCGGCTATAAATGCTTGATGTCGTGTGGAAGTGAGAGCATGAGGATTAGCTTTTACCAGAGGTGCTGCAGACTCTGACAAGACAGGAGGTGGCAGAGAGAAGGTAACGACGGCACGGTGGCTGGATGGTGAGTGCAGCACTGCAGTCTCTTTTTTTCAACACACACAATAAAAGAATAAAAAAGGACACACACACACACAGACACACACACACAGACGATAATGTGTAAGAGCTGTGCATATAGAGCCAGTAGTCGTAGGTGTCTGAAACTCCAAATAAGGTCTCATGATTGAAATGGTTGCACAAAGAAGACGCCACTTCCTGTCAATGAAAGCAAAGATTCATCAAACGTTAGAGGATATTCGTCAAGAATACTCCTTATAAATCATGTTTTCATTGTTGTATTTTAGGACGAAATTGTGTGTATCAAGAGGAACATTTTCAGGTGACTGTTAAATAAAGTTCATGAAGTTGTGTGTCCTTAAATCTCACCTCTGTCACCTGACTGTGACAAACACAGACACACGCCAACGCATCACTGTCTCCGAAGCTGAAATGGCAGAGGTGTCACGCTCACACGGCCGTGGATGTCAAACTCAGTCGGTGAACCTCTGGCATTTATCGACTAATTGTTTCAGCAGAACATATGTGCACACGGAGGTTCAGAGGAACTGTGCTGAACTTGTCAAACACGTTTAAATCTAGCCGTCTGCTTGAAACTGTGCTTCAGTTTGACAACCAATCAGACACTGACAACACAGCGGCGAATTTAACGCCAATCCGTCTGTGAGGAGTTTGAATTTTTCTGATGCTGTGCTGTACTCATGTCGTCTGCTTCATTAACCCTTGGTTCCTGTCAATTTGGAGCTCAAAAACAGACCTGCAGATATGTGTTCATAAAATAATCTTTTTTTTTTCTACTTTTTTCAACTCATATCTCTTCAACAACTTTAGCCCTGACCATTAAAAAAATAATAAATGAAAAATTCGATGTATTTCCCTTTTTATGCCAGTTTTTATGCAACATGTCACTGTTATTTTTGAGGGTAAAAAACACAAAATCACCATATTTCCTAAATAAAATGACCTAGATGATTTTATTTTAATAAAAAGAGTCTGGGCCATGTCAATGATGAGTACTAAAACCAATTTTGGTGCATTTACATCCTTTTTTGTTGTGCCAATTTCTGTATTTTAGCTCCATCTAGCCTACTTTGTCCCCAAAACGGACATGCAGATAAGTGTTTCTTACTTTTTTTGACTCAAATCTCTTAAACAACTTCAGCCCTGACCATAAAACATGTAATCTGGCTCAATCTGTTGTATCACTGTTGGAAAGTCAGATTTAGTGCCCTGCTGATCGACTGACTGCAAAAAAAAAAAGGTTGGAATATGTTGTTATGGTGACATTAACACACGCTCAAAAAACCTGTTTTTAATGGAAGTCTATTGGCCGATTTGCAGACAAAGGAGGGTGAATGGAGCTAAAATGCGGCGACAGAGAACTACAGGTGACACTGATTTTTTTTATACTATTTTAATATTAAGAAAAAAAAGAACTCTCACCAAATTTGATGCCCCAATCTTTAAAAATGTGACTCTTAACTCAAAATAAAGATGAAAAAATGACAGATGTCTTCAAAATGGACATAATAGGAACTGAGGGTTAAATAACAGAGAGCGGTCGTAGACTGATGGTTGTTTCTCAGTACCTGTGACCCGGTCCGATTCTTAGCTCGAGCCTCATCCTTGAGCTAAAATTGAATCTCACATGTAGGTCAGATTTGTC